ATGACCCGATTAGGAGAGTAAATGTATTAGATCCAACCTATGTTAAGAAAGGTAGAGATAGACCAAAAAAGATTTGGCTAGAAAATATTATAAATGATATTTTTTGTTAAATTTAAATAAGAATTTGACTATTAATAAGACAAAATGAAGAAAAAGTATTCATGCAGCCGACCCCATGTAGTGGGATCAAGGCTTGATGTTGATGTTGATGTTGTATTAGTCACAACTAGAGCCTAGCTATTCTAACAAAATATTCCAAAATCATATTGGGGAGTGCATAACATTACAACTACTCACATCTTAAATAGGTTGCCTTCCAAAATTTTGGAGTTCAAATACTAATGGAAGTACTCACTTAGTTTGATCCCAATTTGAACACCAAAAACAAACTTACACCAATGATTTTTGGATGTACCACCTTTGTTCATATTCATAGTAAAAATAAAAGGAAACTTAATCACATATCATTTAAGTTTATATTTGTGGATTACTTATAAACCCAAAAGCAAATAAGAGCTACACTCTACCTACTAAAACTTTTTTTTTTGGTTGATGCCACTTTTAAAGAAGAGAGATATTTCTTTGCATAACATTATCAACAAGAGAAAAATTCTACTATGAAAGATAAGGATAGAAACCTCTTCTTACTAGATCTATGATGCAATATATTTAGTGGTGTTCCAGGTGGAGTTCGGTTATCACTACTCTATTTGGTGATAGGAAATGTAAAGAATGCATTAGGAGTGATTTAAGGGCTTGTGGACTAAGGGAGGTGAAAGGATTGAGTACTTTTGAAAAGCTTAGGAGTAAGGATATGGCGTTTTAATAGAGGTTATGTGATTAGTGAATGGAAGTTAAAAAGGTTAAACATGGACCGCTTTTGGGTGATTTAAGTATCATGTGAATAGCTTGGTGTAAGGTTGAATGGATAGGCCCAGATCAATAAGTAGAAAGGGAAGGAGATAATACAATACAACAACAACAACATCAAGTCTTTATCTCACTACGTGGAGTGGGCTACATGAATTCTTTATCTCCATCGTGACCTGTTAAGAGTCAAATTATCATCTAAATCTAATAAAGAAAAATCATTTCTAATATTTTCTAATCAAGTCTTTTTAGGTCTACCTCTACCTTTCTTAACATGGGACAAATCTAATACATATAATACTCTCCTAACAAGGTCATCAGAAAGCCGCCGTTTTACATGACCAAAGCGTCTAAGGCAACTCTCTCTGATCTTATTAATCATTGGTGCTACTCCAATCTTTCACGGATATGCTCGTTTTGTATCTTGTCTCTAAGAGTAAATCTACTCACCCACCTGAGTATCCTCATCTCAGCAATACTTAACTTAATATTACGCTTCTCTTTTAATGGCCAATATTTTGCTCCATAAAACATTGCAGGTCTCACCACCATCATATAAAATTTTCCCATAAGTTTGAGTGGTACTTTTCTATAACACAATAAACCCGAAGCATTCCTCAACTTTAACCATCCAACTTGAATTCTACTAATAATATCCCCATCTATTTCACCATCACTCTAAACAATAGACCCACGATATCTAAAACGAGGACACTTATTAATGACTTGATCGCTCAAAGTCACAAACCCCCACTAGATCTATTACTATTAAAATTACACTCCATGTATTCAGTTTTATATCTACTCAAACGAAAACCTTTAGACTCTCAGGTTGACCTCCATAATTCAAGATAATAAAATAAGAGAATTTAAATATATGTAAAAAAATTGCAAAATAGAATCTCTCAGACGTTGTCACCAAACAATCCATCAATGAAAAGAAAAACTTCACAAAATTTTGATTTCAGTTCAAGAAAACATCCTTCAATTACAAATTTCTCCATATAAATATACATTACAACTCTTAAGAATTCAAAATGTCACTTGGAAAAGGAAAGAGTGGTTGGCCAAATAAATATGTGCATAAAAACCTAAAAATCAAGTAGGCGGCTGATCTCTTAATTATAACTCCATTGAAAATTGAAACATCACTTATATTCTCTAACAACCTCTTGAACGGTCGACCAAGTAAGCTTGAGTTGTCATTATCATAATGTAGCAAGATGAGGTGGTAATAACTTGACTTTGACTTGGAATTAAATTCAGCTCATGTAAAGCTTATCATTTCAACATTCTTAAATCACAATTTAAAATATAAATAACAAAATATAATAAAAATTCATGAAAACAAAGTGCCACTTATCCTAATCGTGCTTGTGATTGGCTTAGGCTTGTAATTGCCCTGTCCTACATCAATCTACCTTCCTCACCCATAGCTTTCCAACTTCTCATAGCATCATCCCCACGCCTCCTCCGCAAGAAGAAGTTGAACCGCTTCCTCACATTGCTTATAATTCACACTTGAAAGCATAAACATGTATTCAAATAGGCTCTCTCTTATTCAAAAACCAATGCAGCCCAAAAATCTTCTCTAAATTTTTAAATAAAGTAATTATAGTTTTTGGGCCTCACCCAAATGAATCTTGAAGATGAAAATAATGATCTTAACTTATCCAATGACATTCCAAAAAAAACAAGAGAATGCACCAAACGCCATTGTGTTCTCCATCTAGCTTCGTGTCATTTGACAAATTCTCATCATCTTACAAAGAATTTCTTTTGAACTAAAACACCACTTCAATGCCTAAAATATTATGTTAGATATTATCCAATGGAATAAAACACCATAGACATATAGAGAATCAAACTTGAGGAATTTGTAGGTATGATCTTGTCAACTCCACTGTGGACATGTGGAGCTTCAAATATAAACTTTAGGACTTACAACCGTACCAATACCCTTTTTATCACCAACCACGTAACCCTTCCACCTCCATTCTAAGAGGATGCAAATCAAGTTACTGCTTTCATCATAAACATCCTATAGACTCTAAAAAAATAAATAAAAGGAGTAACTGTTGCTGGGATTTGGTAGATAGAGATATCATTCAACACATGGGTTACGGGTGTTGATGTAGAGAGATGCAGTAGGGTTTAGATTTAGGAGACAAGTAGGGTTTAGAGTTAGGAGACAAGAGGGGGAAATGGTGTTCAAAAGGGAAAGATATGAGTGAAGGAGCAACAGCTCGCAGGGATCATCAACAATGAGGGTTTCACGAGTTATGATTTGCTAGAAAAAAAGTTGTAATGACGATAAGGCAAAATAATATTGCGATTGTTTTAAGGTCAGGGTAAAGGGTTGCATGAGAGGGTTAGTTGGCATATGGAGTTAACATGGGAGAAGTGCAATGACAAATGGAAGAGTCAATGAAGGGAGCTAGAAAGTGCCTTATATAGGAGTAGTTGGAATGTCGACTATTTTTCCTTAATTGAAGTTGTCAAAAGCCTAAAGACATTGTGCCCTAAATACCTCTTAAAGGGACAATTTTTTAGAGCATCAGCCATCAATTTTACCAAGTCACAAGATATTCAAACCAATAAGAGAGTAAAAATGGCAAAATAACTAAGATTGGCCCATAAAACAACCTACGGTGGATTCTTCTCTCTTAAACAAAAAAAATACAAATGCTTCATTTATGTCATCAGAATCATGTGAGAGGACAACAGGATTCTCTAAATCTCACAAAGGAAAAACAATAATACTTTTCAAGATTTTATTCCTCAACAAACCATTCAAAAATAGAAATGAAGAAATAGCACTTGACGAAAAACACCATCAAATGATAGCATTGTAATCCTACAATCCTCATTGATACATGTTTTAAGAATACATGATTTCCAAAATTTCTAGGAGCATAAAAAGTCACTAATCAATCCACAAACAACTCAAATGCACTGGTGAAAACCCTAGACATCCCTAGAAGGATGTAGTCCATAAAATCTTGTAAATACCATCGATAGCAATATAAAACAAAAACCTAGAAGTAAACATAACCAAAAAAATAGATTTGCTGACACCCAAATAGGTCAAAGAATGAAACAATGTGCACCCCTTTTGCTTGAATTTAAGATTGATCGATTCAACCAAAAAAGTGGAATCAATAATCTTTATTGCAAAGGGAATAAGAAGGGGATGAATCATGAATTTTTTGGTAAAAATTTTGCGCCAAAGAAGTGATACATCGATGGAGAATAGCATGGGAGGGAAATTTGCAAGAGGTCTTTTGAGTTGTGAAAAAGATGTTTCAAAAGCTGTGAGATGGGGGAGGGTAGGGATGGGTGAGAGGAAAAAAATTAGAAATTCACAACCCTTTGGCCATGTAACTTAATTTTGCTAGGCGTTATTACCAAAACTTTGGCAGAGATTAAGCCAACCACTCAAATAGTCAAGCTTTATGAGAATATAATTTCAGAAAATTTTGAACATGAAACTGCATCGCCTGTATAATATGAACACAACCGATCATTAAAAGAACTTGTAGGTATTTTATGGCATCTTATGATCCCAGGTCACGGAAAAATTAATGAATACATCTCAGGAAATACACAAACACTTCAGACGATATAGAACAACACTGTCCAGACAATAATGAGATGCATTGAATAAGATAAATTGAATAAGACCTTATTCATCTATTGATGGTGGCTTCAGATGAGATCAAAACACAAAAAAAACGTATCAAAAAATTTCATATGCATACACAAGTCAAGAGATGAGTCAGATGACTATGCACGACAAACAACATACTGTCATACTATCATTATTAACTGCCTTTTAGCCAGCACGGGTCTGAACACGTGAAGCAAGTTACAATCAATTAAAAGGTTCTGGTTATTATTTGGCACATACTAAGTTAACGAACGGAAGGCAAAATATTAAGGTGAAATGCAATCCAATCAAAATGAAAATGTCATTGATTGCAAGAAAAATTAGAACAAATATTTTTAAGTTCAGGCAAACAGTTAAGACTAAGTGATGCACAAAACAAGAAAACAGTAGGCATTGAATAAGAAATGCACCTTTAGATGAAGCTCATATAGAAATGAAACTTATCATGATAGTCACTCACCAAAAGTGTGTGCTCAAATTGAGCACTTCTTTTCCCATCTGAAGTGACTGCAGTCCATCCATCAGGCCACAATCGATCACGCCAAATTCCTATTAAAGATAAAAATTTTGAACTATGATGCAGACATAACACCTGAATATAAATTATTTGATCATTTAACTGAGTATACTCACCAGCATTAATCATGGGTTCAATTGTGAATATCTGCCCCTTTTTCATTAAACCAACTGCTTTGTTTTCTATAATAGGTCAAGGACAGCTTCCAACAAAGACAAAAGACATTATACAAGATAACAGCGTTTTAACATACATTCCACATGCTCATATACAATAACAATGTAAGTGACTAATTATACTCCAATTTAGATCAGGTCTATCTTCGACATGTACTGTGGGGAGTGTTTTGATGAATTCTTACCCTGTACTTTGTGACGAGCAATTCTGATTAATCTAAGACCAAATTAAAGCTTATTGAAAGAAAGAATGAATGAATGGACAAAGCTGATTTGCACGACATACAGACTACACTACCATTTATCATACATAAAATAAGAAAAACAATTGAAGCTACTAATCAAGGAATAAAGTTTGGGATTCAAAACTTTACATCAAGTGTGATGGATATCTGGCATACTTCTTAAGTGTTTCAGGTGCAGTCAATATTCAACACATTTTTCACTCATAACTTAGTTGAATCAAAACATGAAACGCACATACATACATACATATATATAAGTATATGAAGTCATTGATAATGTAAGAAAATAATTGAAGTTGTCTTTTAACTATTTAAAACTTAGCCGTTAAAAAATTGTAATGAATGGTAACAAACGCAAAGGATGAGTGGCCCACTTCATCTAAATGCATATTAGCCTCTCTCTCTCTCTCAATAACAATAGTAGTAGTAATAATAATAATAATAACAAGAATAATGATATGGTAGTAGTAGTAAAATAATAATAATAAATTAAGATAAATGATCTTCATTTTCAAATTGCATTTTACATGTTTGAAAAATAACCTAAGATAGAATCATATAGAAAAATTTCTGTCCATTTAGAAAAATAATATACGCACACCACGTAAAACCAGAAGAACTCAGTGAATGAGGATGTTTCTTATGTCTACAATACCTGATAAGGATACTACCATAGTGAGGAATATTAGGGGCACAATGGAACAGCTCTCCAATACCATGACCACAATATGATTTCACCTGCACATTTAAGCAGAAGGATGAATGTCTAGAATTTAAGATAACAGCTCACTTGAGGAATAATAGCTGCCATTAATAAAAGTATTTACCACAGAGAACCCAGACAAGGATGCATGTCGATTGATGACTTCCCCAACCTCACGAAAGCGAACTCCAGGTTTAACTGAACTTGACAGAAATTTTTGTCTTATTCTTACATGTATGCAAGCATGAACACGTTCTACCATACATTTAAGATTGCAAATCTCACTAGCACAAAAGAACCACTGCTCCTTTTCCAAACAAAAGCATTAAAAAAAAAACATAAAAAACAACAACATAAACAAGCATCCTGCTGACAAGAATCATGAAAACGGGAAGATTAACAATGACTGTATAGGTAAACCAAACCGTGAAGGAAACTGTAGCGTGCACAAGAAGGAATACTTGAGTTCGCAAGTAACCCTATGGGTAATACTTTAGTTTGCAAGCAAACCTATCACCAATTGGTGAAAAACAGCGAGAATAATGCTATACCTGGGTGAAAATAGCCCCATTACGATATATTGCGGTAGGAAATCAAAGCCAAACAATAATGAAAACAAGATACAAGAGATCCTCAATTCGAGAGGAGGATCGTCTCTACCAAATCTCTAGACAAGAGAGTCTAGAGCCCAAGTCGCCAAGGAACCCTAATTGAGAACAAATCAAAACATAACCCCTCCCTAAACATCTCAGGCTCTTCAATAAAAACTTTCCTAATCTAATTTCCCTCCAAAGCCCTAGCCGCCGCCTCCTTTTCAATTAGAATTCAATTGAACTAGTGGGACCCTCAATGTGGGCGGGTAAGAACAATGGAGGCGGACAGATCACGCCTCCTGTAGTAGACTTGACCCGGCCCAAGGGCGGCTGGGCGCCTGGGCCGGTTCAGGGTGAACCGGCATAACAAAAAAAAACTTATTAGCTATCATGTTATGACCTCCAACTTTATGCTTGATTATCACAAACTTTTTTTTTTTTTGAATGAATGAATGAATGAGCTCCTTAGCTTAGATGACCATTTTTTCTCAAATAAATTACATAAGCAGTCTTTTCTACTGGTTCATCCAAATCCACAAGAGTTAATGGTTTCTTTAAGATTTCTTTGCAAGAAATATGGGATTTCATTCATTTTGCTCTTATTGTAACATCTGAAGAAAACTATTCAAGCAAAGCATCTCTGGACAGTTTCAATTTCTCTCTTATATGTTTGATTTCTAAGAAAGATGATTGAAAGTTGAAACCTTCTAGAGGAATTCAAACCGATCAATTTGCTAAATGGAGCTTTGAAAATCTTCATCAAAGTGCTTGCTAACAAAGTCAAAGTTTTTCTTTCTAACATAGTGGATATCTCTCAAGGTGCTTTTATTGCTAGTAAGAATCAATATTGATTGAATTTTTGTCAATCATCATTTAAATCCTTCAACTAACAAGTAGAAGGGGATTTTCCTGTCAAGGTTGGGATTTTGAGAAGGCATTTGATAGTTGACGGGAGTAATGTTATTTCTTCCCCCTTTAATTTATCTTTTGGATAATATATTCGATAGCTTGTGCGGCTTTTAAGAGCATTGTCAATGGAGATATTAATAAAAAGTTAAAAATTTATAAAAGTCCTAAAAAATGGACCATTTCTCCACTTATTTTCATCATCAAAACTAATATTCTTTACAAAATATAAAAGGGAAGGTTGGACGGATAGAAAATGGCAGCAATGATAGTTATGATTCTTGTCTTGGGGTCCCTTCCCTTCATTTTGCTTGTATTTTTTTTATGGGCCACGATCTCTCATGCTCCATGAGAAATCCAAAAAGGCTACTCTGAAATTTCCAGTGAAGAGGCAAGGATGAAGCTGCAGAAGAAACACAGCTAACAATAGAAGTGGAGGATCCAGACAGTGTGAGGTGCAAATACGTGGCTCTCGCTGTTAAGTTCAGGATTGGCATTAAGTTGACTGTAAATAGAAAAGATTACACAAAATCCATGAAATCCAAATTAAAAAAAAAAACAACTACAAATAGTTGAGAAAAGATTGCTGTTACAGACAAGGCTGGCACTCTAGTGAGTCAAATAGAGATCTTTTAGTTTTGTTTTTTTAAACGGGCTACCCTTTTTAATTTTTTTAAGGGTAGTTACAAAATTTTCCACGCAAATGCAGTGGGACATCATAGTGCATCAAAAATTAACTATTACGTGGAAATCAATCACAAACGTCTGCATTGCGTAGCAGTGCATATCTTGTTGAAGTAAAAACAGTCTTTTTTATTTAAATATTCTGGTAAAATCAGTTCATAGTAAATGTAAGTTCAGCCAAAGAAAAAAAAAACCACTCATACATAGTAGATATTAAAAAGCTAAAACAATTGTTGTAACAAATCAAGTTAGGAACTTAGGGCACACTTGATTAAATACGAACCTTCTAATAAAACCATAATAAACAGTAACCTCCTAAATTACTTAGAAATAAGATCTCTCAAATATTCTAGCATTCAAAAAAGTACCTATAGAAATGGCTTTCTCCAAGCATTCATATGTGCAACGGACAAGCCGCTGGGACTCTTCATCCACATTTCCAACGAAGTATGTTTCGTTCAGATCACCTACATATTCATTTGACCATTAAATATTAAAAAATCTTTTGCCCAAAAAAAAAACCATCATCAAAATGACTAATAAAAGATTCTTACCATGAACACCTTTGTAATACACAGTTACATCAACATTAACAATGTCGCCATCTTCTAATCTCCTGAACATGATGTCTTTAGCAACTTTCCAGCATAAATAAGGATAGAGAACAAAATCAGCAGGACAAAAATGAAGAGAACATTTTTTTTGCCTTTGGTACCCACATTTTATTTACCACAGCATAAATAAAAAATGCTATATAAAGCAGTCGATTTAGGCATAGAAAGGATAGCTATTAAGCCTACTTGTTTCAAGATATATCTTACTAAAACTGCAGAAACACATTTTTTACTGTATTTAGCAGTACATTTACCCATAAAAGTCCATCGAAACATGTGAGTTCGACCAATTGAATTTGAAAATAAGGCACACAACTCATTAAGTGAGGAAAAAAAACACACCTAGCATCGGGAATACCATGGCAGATGACCTCGTTAACAGATCTGTACATTAAAAGAACATAACAGCAGTTAAGTGGCTGAATTTTTAAGGAAATATGCTAAAGTATTTGAGTGTGAAGGTCATACGTGCAACAAGATTTTGGAAAGAAATGATAATTTAGTGGAGACGGATATCCACCTGGCCACAAAAAAAACAAAGGTAAAATGCAGATCAATTGATGTAAAGTTAAATAAAGCATATACATAAAGAAAGGAAAAAAAAAATCAAAATGATCCCTAAACTATTTTTGAGAGGCCATCCTAGTCCTAGACTATTGCAGGTACCCATTTTGATCCCTTAACTCTTTGAAATAGATCCAAATTAATCGCAGCATCAAAATTGATGTGCAAATGGACAGAAAGTTTACGTGGGAGATATTTCTTGACGGTTAAATCTATCAAATAATTTTATACTATTTAATAAAGCATTATTGTTATTTTTTTAACTATTATTAAAACCATCCATTCTTTAAAGTGGGTTGCCCCGCCAAAAGTTGAAATCATCGGGCACTTGCAGCCAACAAGGTTGACAAGCAACTGAATGTGAATTACAAGGGGAAACTAACCCAAAGACAAGATTCATTGCTTACCCACGTCTCTTCTGAGGAAAATTCCCATGGAGGGCATCAGGGATGGACTTGGGAAGTTTTTTATTCCCAAGCATATATTGTCGTTGCATTCATTTCTTCTCTATACTACTCTCAGTATCCTCCGGTGAGACACGATATACATAGTAGTTAGCCTCACTAATCCCATTCTAAATGTAATGCTTGACACAATCTTTATTCTCCATCGACTGGTATTTGTTCTCTGTCCACTACTCGTTGACGATCTACAATCTCCTTCTCCTATAAAGCTTCTTGTTCAACAAGGTAATGAAATTAGGGTTACAATAAGGAAAAAAGAAAAATACAAAAGACAATGATGCCCTTTAATCCTACCTCTCATGTGAACTTTCCATCCATTTACACATTAATTCTAATGTGAGACCCTTTTGGATCAATTTTGAAGAGTTCAAGGACTAAATTAGTCACCCCCCCCCCAAAACAAAAATCTCCTCTTCCTCTAAGAAATCTAAGGACTATTTTGAGCTTTTCTCCAAAAAGATATGTATTAAATCCTAGCCGTCCCTTGACACTTGATCCCACAGCTAGGATGAGAACCTATGAGAGGCTCACCTAGATCATGCCTATCTCTATTAAATCTCAGCCATCCCTTGACAATTGATCCCACGACCAGGTTGGGAATCCATGGGAGGTTCACTTAGCTCACGTCGATCTCCTTCCATATTTGAATAACTGATTTAGGAAAGATTAAATTAGAGCAATTATGCATGATTTTGTATTTATTTTTTTATTAAGATATCTTGTATAGACCTATAAATAAAGATAATTTTGTACAATAAAATTAAGCATTTTAACTCCCCAATGCTCTGAATTTAACATGGTATCAGAGCCTAAAGAGATATAATCCGTGAGTTTCACCACCAACCTTCATTACCATTGCCATTGTGAGATCGGCTATCGTGCCTTCATTATCGGCCTTCTCTTGTTGTTGCAACTACTCTTATAATCAACGTAGCCTTCATTGCTACCCTATACCTTGTTGGCTTGATTCATATAGCATTCATCGCTATCCTTTTCTGCCAAAATGTCTGAAGCTAATTCCTCCCAAAGCTCTATGGAGGACTCTATGGTGCACCAAGGAAAAGTAGATCTCCAAAATATGCAAACTTCTTATCGCTTAAATGGGAAGAATTACTTAAAGTTGTCTCAAAATGTGAAGACCAACTTGAAAGGGAAAGAAAAGATGAATCACCTCCTTGGGGCAGGACCAAAAGAAGAAGATCCTAATTTTTGGGCATGGGATGAAGCAAACTCCATGATCATGTCATGGTTGTGAAATTCCATAACTCCAGAAATTAATAATACTTTCATTTTCCTATCTTACTACAAAAGGCATATGGGATGCCGCCGGGTAAACCATCTCAAAAGCTTAGGATGTTGCACAAATCTTTGAAATTAAAGTCAAGGTGAAAAACACAAAAAAAGGAAGTAAGATCATGATTGAATATGCCTTTATACTTCAAAGCTTGTGGCAAGAACTTGATCACTACAAAAGCATAGAGGCCAAGTGTCTAGTAAAAAGCTTTTATTGAGAAAGATAGAATATAAGAATTTTTTGCAGGATTAAATACAGAGTTTGACCATGTTAGAGTTCAAATCCTTGGAAAAGATGAGACACCCTCACTAAATGAGACAATTTCTCTCATTCATGCTGAGAAAAGCCGGCGAGGGGTGAGGTTGGAACCAAAGGTTGTTGAAGGTTCAATAATGATGATAAGCCAAAGAGGCATCATTGAAGGAAAGATGTAAAGATTCCTCAAAACCTAAAGACAAAGACTCACATTGATGCAGTTATTATAAGAATTCAAGACACACCATGGAGCCAAGATCCAAAGTTTAGAAGCTAGACATCATCCTTAACTCCCAATCATATTTTTAGACTGCCTGAACAAACCCTCATTCCTTAACTAAAGCACTTATTAACTGCACTAGTGGCGTTGGATATGCACTATAAGGATGATTGGACTATTTTCATATATCATGTCCTACCCAATGATGCTATCAGTGGAGAACCCTCGAAGTTCCCCACACAAGAGCGGGTAGAGTTGATTCAACTTATCCAACTTGGTTTACGTATGTTTTTTTTCAGTAATAGGGAATTGTAGAGAACCTCTTTCTCGTCAAACTTTCTTGTTTGAGAATAGGTGTTTTGTATAAGAACTTTAGAGCAAACTAATAGAGCTGACACTCATTCATATACTATTTTGTGGTAGTGTATAAATTTTGTGTGTGTATTTAGAAAGCTTTTTATTGTGCATTTGATAACCTCCCATATGGCAGTTACAGAATATATGTCCACACATGTAACCAAAAGCAGGTATGAGGAGATATGACACAAAAATTATGGACCAAACAACACCTGAGAACTAAGAATATTGGCCCGAATGCTCAACCAACTAAGTACTAAGCAAATAACCAAAAAAAAACTTAAAATTTCTAAAATGCTAGCACTAATTAACCATTATCTAACATCATAAATAAAAAGTTCATGGGAAATGAGAATAAACTAACCAGCAGCAATAGTTGCTTCATGCACCACTTCATCAATTTCATCAGTTGTTACTCCTGGTCGAATGAAACGAGCAGCCGCATCCAAAACCTCCCTTGCAATCTAAAGATCACACACCAAAAATAAATGAGAAATAGAAGGTACCTAAAGAGTACCAAGATGATTTTGAAGGGGTTTTGGGACCAGTATGGATCTATTTTAGAGACTAAGAAAGAAGTTAAAATCTTCCCGTCTTTTAAAAGTAATTAAAGTAAGTTACATAATAGACCTAACAACGTAAAAATAGTGGTATCAATTAGAGTCGAGAAATGTTCTATCAAATTATTTGTGGCTACTTGGATCTCCACTAACACAATGATGAACTGGATTAAATAATAAAAATTAAAGACTATGCTGGAAATGCTGAAAGATATTTTACCAAAATAAAAAGATAACTGATGCATTTCAAATCTACGTTAAAAATATCAATTTATGGTATCACTCTTATCCGATTAAAATTTGACACTTTATTTAAATTCTCACAAACAAAGTTGATGCATTCAATATTTTAATTATTTAAGTTTTATTGTATTATGAACAATATTAGTTGTGTTTTATTTTTGTTTATGCTATCCTATGATGGTTGGGCTTCCAATGATCATGGTAGGAATGTGCTAGGCATGGCAAGCCTTGGGTTTGCTTGCTTTTGGGTCCACTTCGTCCTTGGGCTGCTTGCTGATTTTTATTTTTGTGTGGTGGCTGCTCTCGGGTATGGCCTTGGTTACTTGGTGTTGAGCTTAAAAAAAGTGATGGGTTCTACTTGGTGCTAGCTCATTAATGTTGAGCTGAAGTTTAGCTCAATGATTGGGGGATTTATTGCACTTCCTAGCTCATTAATTCAAAAAGGTTTGCTATTAAATCTTGGATTCATTTTGGAGTGGACTTTGCCCCTTCTTCTCCCTTTGTCTCTTCGGTTTCCTCTTGGCCTTTGCTGTTCCCGTGGCCCCTGGCTGTTTTCCCGTGCTGATGCTCCGTTCTCTGTGCTGGCCCCTCGGTTCCCTTGATGGCTGGGTTTCCCGTGGTTGCCTGCTTGGTTTCCCGTGGCCTTCTCCTCTCTATTTCCTGTACCGAATGGGGGTTGCTGTGTTGTGGTTGCTGGCCTTTCATTTCACTAAATCTAATTGGTTTTGTTGGAGGTGTTATGGCAGTTCGGTTCCTCTCTTTTGCCTGTAAAATAGAGATGTTTTGGCATGGATTAGGTTGTTGAAATTGTGATTAAAAACTCTACAAAAAATCTGAGGGTTTCTTCTTGGAAAAGCTTGAGAGCTTGTTTCATCCCCTTCTTCTCTTCTCTATTTCGTTTTGGCTTCTAACCCCCTTCTTCTCTACGCAAGTTCCACTCCACTTGTATCCTTCTTCTTGAGCTTTGGAAGTGTATGTTGGCTGAAATTTGGAAACATTTGCCGGAGGAGTTTGGAAAGGACATTGGACTCTTTTGCAGTGGTGGACCCTTGGTTTGCAAACCTAAGCACAATTTTCTTAAATTCCTACTTTTGTTGCATGTGAGGAGACCGCTAGACGGTTATACTGAGGATATTATTTTTATATTTTTATTATGTTTTCTTTCGATTTGGCTTTTGTTTTTCCTAAGTTTGTTTGGATGTTTGCAAGTTACAATTGAATTGAGTTCGGTTTAAGTCTTGTCCTAGTATTCTCCAATTTGTCTCTTTTCTCTAGACTTTGCTTGCATCAAAAGTGCGCATAAGCATAGTCTTCTATCAAGTTTTCTGTCTTTCCTTTGTCAATCAGCTAAGATGATTTGATGTATTTTTATGCAGATGATATCAAGCAATGCTTCAAAGTTAGCATTTCATATTTTCATGCGTTTTCAAAGTTAAAGCAATATGTGCTTTGTACAGATTATAAAAAATATATTACGAAAAATACACAAGCATTGCTTTTCAGACATTGAGATTAACATCAATAAAAAAACTTCATATGCTCTCAATTTGATCTACCCATGGTTTTGACATTTAAAATTCCAAAAGAAACCCAAGCGTTGAAGAAGATGGCCGAAGGAACTTGGTAGTCTTTCAAATCTAGTCTCAATGATTGAAAGGATATTTAGAAGTTTCATGAGCATGTCTGGCCTGAGGGATCTTATCTCTATTGCTGAACTTGAAAGACTGAGGTATTGTGATTAGTATAATCCACACACATCCTCCTCTTATCACCACTTTACCAGGCAATCATCAAACCATATAAAAGTACAACAATTGATAATAATTTCACTTTAAAGAGATTAATATTGATGAAGAGAGATTTTTAAAAAAAAAAATTAGAGCTCCCATTATCAACTACAATACCCACATTATGGCCAATGGATTGATAGGAGACTACGCTCCTTCATGATAAGAAGTCACAGAAGATAATGGAATTATTAGAGCATGACCTTTCTTGGTGTTCACTCCCCAAGGGTAGGAAGAAAACATGTTAGTTTCCATCTTGCTTAATTTCTCTTTTTTTTTTTTTTTTTTTTTTATAATTTTTTTGTGGTTTTTTTTTGTCATTTTATAATTATTATGGTGCGTGATTCCCAAAATATATCAATATTTGCACAGGTATTCCAGCCTTAAGGAAATCAACCTAAAAAGCTTTGTTAAATGCTTCCATGGTCTCCTTGAGTTGATAAGAAGCCTCATTAGTGTGACAGCAGCTACTATGAATGTTGTAGTATTGGTTCTATTTTCTTTTGTTTAGCTAGAGCAGATTAAGCCACTTAACACATTTTCCATTTGGTATAACCAATAAGACAGAACAAGATGTACTAAGCAGCATGTTGATGTTGTTGAGAAAGATCTTGATCTTTAGATTGGCCATTTTGACACTTTGTGATGGGGGCATCCGAGTTTGGAAAGTCTATCAGAGACGTAGTCATCGATCTACAACCACGATTGAGTCAATGTATTTCTAAGTCATATTATGTATTTGTCTTTTATTATGTTATGTTGTATTTGATTTATTACTTTTCTGCTTTTACCCCTTAAGGGAGGTCGTGTGTAAGCCCAAAGGGGCATTGTCATCTTTTATTTTGAGTCCTTTTGTACAAGGCTATATATAGCCCTTATGTTCTCTTTTTCATGTTTAATGAATGAATAAATAAAAATTCCATTGCTTGAGTTCTTTGTGAAATCTTGAGAGTGCTTGGGAGAGAAATCCCTAGGAGAGGGAAATCGGATCACCCACCAACCTTGGAGACGGTCGGGGTCATGGTTCTTCTTCTTTCTCGATTTTCCCTTTCTTTTCTTTATCACCTAGCTACAGGCCTATGGTCTTCCCAAACCCCAAAGTCGTCAGCCACCTAATCTATCCACACCCCTCGCCGGACTCACCCCATTGCCACCCACTCCCTCCCACCGAAATTCACCCCAATCCCTCCACCTAGCAGTCAGCCCTATCCCTCCCATCTTCCCTCCACAAATTCAAACCCCCTCTTGAATACATTCTATAAGTAATCACTCTTAATTTGTGAAGGTTTGATTTCAAATTTCAAAATAATTTGAATTTAAAAATTCTTTCCTAATTTAGGAAATCTAGTTAAGGAAAGTTCCAAAATTAAATCCTATTTGAATTTCAAATTATTTGGGATTTAATTAAAACTTTCCTAATCTCTAAATCCCAAAATAGCAACCCAAATCTCTCCCCACAATTCCCTCCTAGCCCTTGAAGCCTCCGGCCCCTTATTAAATCCCTTGAGATTTATTTCCAAATCCACTAAGCCCCCTCTTGGAAATTTATTTCCAAATCCACTAAGCCCCCTCTTGGAAACAATTTCCTAATTCTCCTCCACCTCCTTTGACCAAGATCCCCTAAGCCCCACTTATTAATTCCTTTCGAAAGGAGAATTTCTCCTTTTGGAATTAAATTAAAACCCTACCCTCCCCCTTGCCGCTGGCCCCTCTCTCCCTTCTCCATCCTTGATTATTTTAATCAAGGGGATCAAGTAGGCAGTTGTTTGAATTAAATTCCCTCCACCTCCATCTCACAAAATCTGAACCTGAATTCCCCAAGCCTTTCCCCCTTAGCTGGCCACCTTCCCTTACCTTCTCCCACTTGGATTCTTGGGAGAAACCCCTTTCTTTCAAGGGAAAGCAGAAAGGACAGCAACGAAACACCTCCTACAACACTTCAACGCAACAAGATCGATGCATGGCCAATCCCGATCTTGATTTCGGCATTGCCTACGACGAGCAAGGTTTCATTCACATCCTTCACTCCACTTTTTTCGACGTCAATCCGGAGATCGACAACATTGTCGAGGAATACGTGGAGCGCATCCTAGATACTCTCACCGAAGCCATAGAGGAGCAGCTTGGTGCCGTTCAATGGTGGATTACATCCAAGCCGTGACAAAGATCTTCCAATCTTCCTCTTGTACTTTCATAGTTGAATTCTCTATTGTGGTTTGAATTTGATTCATAAAGGTCTTGTTCACCTATCTCTGCCAAGCTTAGTAATCGTAGGTATTGAGTTTAGCTTTCTATGTTTCTAATCTCATTGTTAGCCTAGAAATTTTGTTGAAAGCTACTTAATTTGCATATTATTGAAATTCTAAGGTGTTTTGATAATCCAAGTGTTTGGCATGTGATTTGGCCTAAGCATAGCCACCCCTCTTACGTTTTCGTTTATCGTTTTAATTGCTAATAGTTTTAATCTTAATTCTTTTATTCAAAAAATCGTGCAAGTTCTTATCGCATACAATTAAAACATTGTAGTCCTGCATCACTTTGAGTGTGATTTTAATCCCTCTTATTAGCCATTTTTCTTAAATTCTTGAGAGAGTTATCATTTGTAGGAGTCGACAGCTTCATTAATGGATGATTGTGGATTGAGGATAGTTTGGTAATTTTGATGAAGTGTATGGTAGTTAGGAGGTACTTCATCATCATGATTCGTGTTGGAGTAAAATGCCCTTTAATTCGGAGCACTTTTGTCTTCCAGCTAATTGGATGATTGTGGATTGAGACATGTCTTTAGGAATGGTGTTGGACCATTATACTACTACGGGTAACGAAAGGACATATTAAGCCTTAGGTTTTAAGATCGGTCTTGGAAATGATCTGATTTGGATGGTTGGATCTTAGAAGAAGCATAGATATTAGTGTTAATCTTCTACAGCTTAATTGAAGTTCTAGCATGGATCTTTAGATGATCTAACAATGTAGATTTAGAAGGATCATTATCTTACCATTGCACAGAGATGGTTGAAGCATGACCTTGGCACTCTTGATCATATGGAGATGGTTCATCTCAATATCACAAATTTGTTAAGGATGCATCAATATTAATATAAAATACTAACTAGTTCCAATAATTATCCAAGAATCAAGCCATTCATAAGCAGCTAACAATGAGAGAAGGGTAGATGCCATCAATTAGCAGAATGGTTCAAATTTGGACTTTACAATGTAACTAACTAATATGATGTGTACTATGAATGCATGCAAAAGAATTTGAGAATTCGCAAATCACAAACAACCAATTTTTTCAACTGCATCCTTTCTTTAAATATAAATAGAAAACATGAATTAAAACCCAACCTATACAAAATGAACGAAAGAGACTGAGAATTTTAATATGGATTTAGAGATACATAAAATTAGTAACTAAATGTAATTTCATTTCAACAAATTAAATTTCTAAGATGTAATTTTTTTAAGAAAATCAAGAGCGCTAATCAAGCCAATATCAAATTTTATAGATGAAATAAGAACAAAGAAGTAAATTATCAAAAATAAGAAAATTAAGCCTCACACTAGTACAAAGAGATGTTTCTCCTGAAATTAGGTAGTCACGCTTATAAAACAGTTGATGGAAGTGCACGTACAAATTCACTCACAAATTGAAAACTAAAAAGAGATTTTATTCCACCCAAAGTTCCAAATTACATGTTTCTGAATAGCTACATAGTTTCCCCATCCCTTGTGCTAGTATATGGATCACAAAGGATCAAGTCAACTTAAGTTTATTTATTATAATCGTAATTTGAAATTTCTAGAAGTTCTTATCCACAGTTGAAACAACCATCAAGTTGTGAAAATAAAAGACCTCGAGCCTCGAAGGAAGAGGAAGTAACAAATAAAACCCTCACGTCATAAGATTTGGATAAGCTACCAAAACCAAAAGACATAATACCCCTAAAGAGGCATGCAACACAAAACTCATTGGCAAACGGGTAAATTTTCACAACAAATACTGCACCGTCTCTTAACACCAACAAGATAATCATAGCCATCTCAATACAATAATCTTACTAACCACGACAATTCTTTATGTAACCTAAACTAAATTGAATCAAAACTGAAAATCGTGTCAAACCATATAAATCAACATAATGCTAGAAATTAAAGAAAACCTCTCTTGGTCATCACCACTAGCATGTTCTTACTGTAGAAATAATAAAATAAAATAAATTAAACAATAAATAAATAAATAAGAGTACTTAAAGTGATGCTTCTGAAATATAAATGCAAAGATTTTCAATAAAAAGTAAAAGTGGCTTGGACTTCATGGACTATGGCGTTCAAATGATGAACTCACAATTCTAACCTAATATAGTAACATTCTATGGTAAAATGTAATTGAACCTTAGAGAACCAAGATAATCTTCAATGCTTGTCTTAATAAATCATTTTATAAACAAGACAAATCCAACAATCATCCTCAAGTTGCATAACTCAACTCCAAATTCGAGCTCACAACTAATCCATTATGGCTTATACATATAACATAACCATGAAATCCATAAATATGCTTGCGTTCGATTTAAATTGCAGTAAATTTCAACAAAAGCATCAGTAGTGATACACTAAAAGAAACATTATAAAATTAACTGAGATTTTTCATAATACAAGTTCGAATCAGCTTCTTAGGGTTGTGTTTTATCCTAAAAGTTCATCGTCGTCTTCTGACTGCTTTTATTGCTCACATCAATGGTCCCAATTTGAGCGTACTGTATACAGCAAGTATCATTTTGGCTCTCAAGTCTTGAGTTGGGAGATATAGAAGCACACAATATTTATGTCATGATTATTTAACAAGTTTTACGCTAGTTTTCAAATAAAAACATCGACAGGGATCATAACCAATTTGGGCAACCACTCACTAAATAGCCAATTTGGGCAACCACTCACAAAATATTACTATGGGTAATCACAGTCAGGGAAAGATTGAACGCTGCAACCCAACAATATCTTAACACAGCAACTTGAACTCGTATCCAAAAAGAAAAACATTAAGAAAATCAGGAGAACAAACTTACCCGACATGTTTCTCTCATTCTTTCAATCTTGTCTGGCGTCTTTATCTTTAAATATTCACATGCCAACATAATAAAAAACAGAATTTAACTTGGATTATACTTCAAAACTCAATTTAATCAAAATCTTAGACATGCTTACTTCCACTCTACTCTGCAAGTCACTGCTTGGTTCGATCTTCGGGATTCCCTGAAAGCACATTAATTACAACTTCCAGTTCATTTTTTGGGTGGTTCTTATTTTTCAACAAAGAAATACAGAGCCAAATCACTTTCTACTATTAAACAAAGTGTGGATGCCACAACTTCACTTTCCAAGAAATATACTACGAACAACAAGGACTTTTAAGGTGATATAGAAAGCATATTGGCACCATATCTCATGAATGGAAAGATGCAGATCAATAAGTAAATAGATGCAAGTACTGAATACTAACAAATGTAACTACCAAACAACGAATTTCTGAAATAGGTTTATGTTAACATAAGACCACCACGATCATGAAAAGTGACTTGAAGTTGGCATACATTATCAAACAGATTAATGTGCTTCCTGAAAGAAATAAACCTATAGAAACGAAGTAGAAACTGGTTCTTCTTCATGGTGGACCATCTAAGTAGTACAAAAGAGGGTAAACAGAAAATAAAAAAGGATAAGCAGTGAAATCCAACTGAACGTCAGAAAAAACAATAGAACTTCAGTTTATACACAGTAAAGGGATTGGGTACACTTGCAAATACTGTTAGCAGGAACATTTACAATTCTTCAAATACAGGCACAAAATCTAACAGTAAACTCAAGCCATACACCTTACAATCACTAGTAAAACATCCTAGCATGCAAATAACAATTGGATGATACATCATAATGTCTTCACTGTGTGATCTTCACTAACCCTTAGGAATGTAATTAGGCGCCACAAGAGAAGGATTAGAAATTTAGAACTGCATGCTGACTGCAGCCAAGGAAACATGAATCATCATCATAATAGGCCTTACCTCGATTATCTAGGTTCGGCTTTATAAGTTTTCATTCTCGGTTCATTTCTGTTAAGGACTGCAAGAGGTGCTAAATCTATTTGCACAAATATTGACGGACAAATTCCAAGGAACCATGAATAGTCTTGTGAGGTGCCAAAAAAATCAAAAGCATAAAATTACTTGCACAAGACATATAAGAGGTGAGCAAATACAACAACAACAACAACATCAAGCTTTTATCCCACTACGTAGGGTCGGCTACATGAATCCTTTTTCTCCATTGTGCCCTATTAAAAGTCAAATTTTCGTTTAAATCTAATAAATAAATATCATTTCTAATATTTTCTAACCAAGTCTTTTTAGGTCTGCCTCTACCTTTCTTAACATAAGTCAAATCTAATAGCTCTACTCTCCTAACCGGGACATCGGAAGGCCACCGTTGTTGTGCCTTTCATAAGAGGTGAGCAAATATGGTGGGAAAAAAAAACTTATGTATTATTGCAGCTGCTGATGGTGTGATAAATAATACAAATTAGTACAGTATGAAGCAATCTACAATTTCTATCATTCTCTCAGCATTAACAATTTAGGCAACAGATACAAAGGAAAATGACAACCTGAAAGAATAATGAAGAAGAGATTAAATTTATTGACACAAATGTAAGTCATTATGCATAAGTTGCACTAAATCATTGATACGAATTTGAACTACTGAGACACAGGAAAGAAAAAACAAAGAAACTATACATCAACTGAACTCTGACAAGGGATGCAAGGCACTTCAAGTCCAAGAAAACATAGTTTATATATTTTGAAAAGTAGTTAAAGTAGCATAGGGCAAAAGAACCTATAAGATCGAAAGGTTAAGTCAGCTCACATCCATGGCCCAATCAGGTTTCTCAATCGCCGCAGGCACCACTCGATGTTTTGATATTGGATATGGTCGTAGTGTTCTGCAAGGATATAACTACACATTTAAGTATATATATATATATATATATATATATATATATATATAATTAGAAAGTAAAATCGGTGTTATAAATAGGTAAAGTGAATTATCATTCAGTTATCGACAACATCCTCAAGCAATACTGAAAATCATTTAAAAGATGAGCATTGGATTCCACTAATTTAGATAAAACGCAACTCCTGAACCCTAAAATAAAGCTATTTGAATTCAACAAGGCTGTTTTAGACTAGGAGAGTGTCCGTAAAGGCATTGCGAAAACTAAAAGTAAAAGAAACAAAAAAGTGCACGCAAAGGCATTGGGAAAACTAAAAAACAACCAAGTGCTTGAGTGCAAAAAAGCTGCCATAATCCGGATGTGGAAGAAATAAAGAATGGTGACTTCTGTGTTACATAGCAAAAGCTTTTTTTTTTTTTTTTGAAATTTTTATTTAAAGGTTTCTAAAACAACCCAAAATGTTGAATTGAAATTTGATAGCAGAACTTGATGGTTTTATGAGTTGTATGTTTGAAGATATAGAAAACTGGATGCATAATGAGATAATTCCTAGAAAAATGGTATTAGCAGTGACAGTATAAAGTAAGGAGACCTCCATTTAACTTCATATATGCCTTTCTTTTTTCTCACCATTCACTACTGCAGAAAGAATGGTGAAATCCATAAACCTCAATGCTGAAAACAAAGAGTTGGATTGTTCTCAGTTAAAGATGTTTGCATTTTGCTCATACATTCACGGAACTAACAGTAATGGACTATGTACCAATAATGTTAGCAGCTCTGCCAGCAGAAATTTCAGGCTAAAAAAACTAAATATGCATGCTGAACCTCACTTCAGTTGTCACAGGTCATAAGCCTGTAAAAGCTCACACCTTCCAGCCATCATAGGTCAAAAACACATGTGAATGACTTGTCATGGGTCATGAGTACAGCAAAAGCTATAAATTCTATTTGAATAGCTGAATTCAAGTCTAAAGGAACTCAAACTCTGCATGCCTAATGCTAGTTAGTCATCAATCCAAATGAACTGCCTTTAACAACAATTCCTTCTTATCACCCTTGCACTTGCCCTAGCTCTGCCACCTAGCCCATGCTGATTTTGTTCACGAGCTCACCTGCATCACTCGGACCTCTGCGGTTAGCCACGCTCATCTCTTCATGCACATGTTGCTATTCGATCGAGTTGAAGTGCGTGTGCGTGTACTTATGTGCTTCCCAGTGGTGCACCCACCTCCACTGTGGAGCATTGTCCTCTATTTGTTGGCACATATGATGTCCGTGATCTCGATGCTTTTGAGGATGCCCATACTATTTTAACATGGCTCTATAATGATCTAACTTTTTCTCTATTTCCATGACCAACATCATGCATCCGTGCTCCCACTAACCCCAGATCTTCACCTGGCATCCATTTCATCCATTCATCAACCGTTCCCCAAGTTTCTCCGCATTGTGATGCTTCTCCTTTGAATGCTACTACTAGAGCCTTTCCATCTATGAGATCTCCATCACCTTGTGTTCCATGATCATTTGTTGAAGCCATTAGTGGGATAAAAGTCACGTACCTCTATCTACTTCCTCTTGCTTCCCCACTCATTTTTAGGAATATCATGTATCTACTCTTCACAAGTTATCAATCCCATTTCAAGGCAAACTTACTCTCATTTTATATGATGAGGAGAATTTTGAGTTAACTGTGCCATTTTCCACATCCCTGGTTGGCAAATTCTCCCAAGTTCACCTTAGTTTAGAGATTATTTGTTGATTCATGGCCAACCTTCAATTGATTGAAAGTTATAGTGTGGGACATCTCAAGAATCAAACTATTCAAGAATTTTTCTCTTGAAGAACATACTATGTTGATGAGTTCCTAATGCGGATGCTTAAATAGACATCTCAATTTAACTATTTTATGAAACCTCCTATTACCTCAATTTGAGTTATTCTTCACATCTACTAATTCAGTATTACAATTAATCCATTTTGTACTCTCTTGGTCCAGCTTTGGCAAACCACTTTAAGTGAATGTATCTACTGCTAGGCTTTCTAGGTTGAAAGTGGCTAGGGCTTTGGTCAAATTGAATATTTGCTCTCCTCTTGAGAAATAAACTTGAATTAGATCCCCCTCTAATTACTAATGGCAAAATGTTCAGTTTGAAGGTATTCCCCTTATTAATCTTCTTGAAAAATATTTGGTCACAACTTCACAAAATGCTCCGAGGCACATTCAAAGCTGTAGAAACCTAATAATTATAGGCAGTGGAGATCTTTCCTTTGATAAAATTCTATCTCCTAATATAATGATGAAAGTTTCATCTACTTCTGATCTAGTTTATACTTGAAACTTAGAATCATGCCTTGGTATCAATGCCTTCCCAAGTTGTTATTGCAGTTCTATAACTCCTCACATGATTTGTAATTCTATCCCTTCAGGGTGATCCAAACTCTCTTTCTGGCCACTATTAATAGTTTTTCTACCATAGAGGAGCTTGCAGACAAGAATATTCAAATTTTAAATGCTCAAAAAAGAAGAAAGTTCAAGAAAGTTCATCTTCATAGGCTACAAATTAGAAATTTTAATGTGTCCCCTAGGTTTTTCTCGTCTTTTTCCATTTCAATGAATTCTATTTTTTATTATTCAATTCCACTAGCATTGCTTTGTTATTTCTTTGAGTTTAACTCTTTTCATTGAATGATAATAAATCTTAGTTAATAAAAAGTTTACATCTAACAAGATTTGGTTGTAAAAGTTATGCAAATCCAAAAGGCTATCCTCATCAATAATGTAATTTTTGTGAGTGGATTATTATTTTGAGTTTTAAATTGCTTAAGTTGTTTTAATGGTTTTTTTTTAGCTCGATGTAACATGATTGTAATGAGGATGCCTATGAGAACACCATGTGCTCTGTAATGTTTTAATTTTATCGACTGATTTGATTTCCTCAACCTCACATAGTGGGATAAAAACTTGTTTGGTTTTGATGATTTGGTTTTTCATATTTAGACTATAAGCTGGTTCAATTCATCTCTCATCAGATTCTCTATTCAACACATACAATTCCATGCTTTTATTCTACAACTGATTCAGAAGGTTATTGTCATTGGGTTAATGCTGCAACAATCATCGAATTGGTGAATTGGCACTATTGTACAAGTCAACTCCCTATTGATCGGCTCTGCTTGCTTGTTGATTGGGATTGATTAATTGTTTATTTGACCAGTTGTTGATTAATTTCCTTCTATAAAAAAGATTTGCAGTATACCTTGGAATTACGCTTTATTACAATTTTTTTTTAAACGCTTTATTACAATTGTTGTTGTTCTTTATGTTCACAATTTTGTTTCCTCTTAAGCGACTTTCCTATTATAGCAGGAAATCAAAGGATGGTATATTTACTTCCATTTTTGGTTGTTAAAATGTAGCTTGATTCGTTTATTGTTGGTTTCCTTCTATGCACCACCTTCTGCTGAACTAAAATCTGAAAAATTACTTTTTTTTTAATAGTAATTATCTAATTTGTTTATGAATCCTGATATAAAACTGCAGCGCAATCTGAAATTTGTCATAACCAAGATTTTGGCATTGAAAGCTTCCAGTTTTTAGCTAGATTTTATACTCAAAGAAATTACCAATTAATTATGGGTGTAGTTTTTGTTATAAATAGGTGCTCAGGATTCAAGTATAATTCAATATTAATTTAATAAATTTCATAATTTTCTCAAATTTGTAGGTGTGAGTTGGATGTAAATTTTTCGAGTGTGGTGTAAATCTAAACAACAACCTCAAAGGAAAGCTTTCTCCTTATAATAGCATAAGGCCTAAATCTTTTTTGGGGACATCTATCATTATTCTTTTTATATTACCTTCATTGTTATTGTTTTTTGGTGGGTAAGACTTGACCAAGTTTGCTACAATCTTCTTGTGTTGGAAATCCTCTACGTTACGGTTTTATTTTGATCTTTGATTTCTCATAAAATTTTAATTTTGCATGATCTTTAAATTATTGTTTGAAGCAAATTTAACACAATTTTGTATATGTACCATAATAGATGAAGTTTTGTTGAGCTAATAGTTGGTGGACAGTGAATTTTGTATCTTTCATATGCTTGTTTTGTGCATTCAGCCTAGTTTTGCATTAGGAAAATACTTAAACCTAAGACATCTGGCATTAGATCTTACGATCAAAACCACCGATTGCATCATAATGTCAACTAAAAGTAGGATGTAATAAGTAAGAATATTAAAAAAATAACAAGCTGTGCAATTCAAACAAAATTTAGTAAGTTGAGTTATAAACAACTACGACATAACTATCATAAGATTAAGAATTATATTACTATATTTGGCAGGAGGTATGAGACAGAAGTTTTTAGATTTGATAGATGGGTTGGAAAAAATTTAGGAACAATACACTTTATTTGATTTCAAAATGATTGATGGGTTGAAATGTTGCTTCTAAATCATGCAAGATTTACCCACCTTGTGACTATATATTATTCGTCTCTAAAGTATTTGTCGTCAATGTCTATTTCATTAAAAGTCTTAGATACTACAACAACAACATCAAGCCTTTATCGCACTATGTGGGGTCGGCTACATGAATCATTTTTCTCCATTGTGCCCTATTAAAAGTTAAATTCTCATTTACATATAAAAAAAGGTCAATTCTAATATTTTCTAACCAAGCTTTTTTAGGTCTACCTCTACCTTTCTAAACATAAGTCAAATATAATGCATCCACTTTCCTAACCGGGTCATCAAAAGATCGCCGTTTATGTGCCCAAACCATCTAAGGAGACTCTCTAATCTTATCTTCCATTGGAGTTACTCCAACCTTTTCATGTATATGCTCATTTCGTATCATATCTCTAAGAGTAAAGTCACTCATCCACCTGAGCCTCCTCATCGCTGCAACACCTAACTTAGTATTACCTTCTCTATTAATGGTCAACATTCTGCACCACAAAGCATTGCAGGTCTACCACCATCTTATAGAATTTTCCCCCAAGTTTGAGGGGAACTTTTCTATCACACAACAAGCCCGATGTATTCCTCCACTTCAACCATCCAACTTGAATTATACTAATAATATCCCTATCTATTTCACCATCACCCTAAACAATAGACCCAAGATATCTAAAATGTGTACTCTTATTAATGACTTGATCACCCAAAATCACAATCCCCCCACACGAACTATTAATACTAAAATTACACTCCATATATTCAGTTTTAGATCTACATCATAATGGGACTATTTTGGTTCTTATTTAGGGGATGTTTGGTTGCCTGAAAAAGAAATGTAGTGTAAAGTAAATGCAATGTAAATTAAATACTTTGAGATTGTTTGGTTGTTTGCAAAATAAATGCAGGAGAACTGTTTCCCTTATTTGGTTAGGTAGATCCAGAATAAAGTAAAAATGTTTTTTTTATATAATTTGAAAGAAATCATGGATACTAATGCAACCATCTGTTAATATTTTCATCAAAATCTCTCACACCGCCATTTTCAATTTTAAATATTTTATGCTACATTCATAAGACTCGAATTGAAGGCCTCTTAGACTTTATTTGGGATAAAATATTACTTTCTAAAGCTTCTTTTTACAACAATTTTTTTTTCAACAAATCTTTATACTAAAAAACTAATTTATAAAAAAATACAAAAAATGTCCCAACCAAAACCTTAAAAAATCCTCAAACCTAAACAAATAAAATGCGAATGAGACTTCCAAGGAAAATTTAAGGGGTGGGAAAAAAAACAAAAAGAGAACAAACAAAAACAAAGCAGAGCATAATCTTGCATATCCAAGTTTGAAAACAGTAGACAATTTCGAGCAGAAAAGTGTTAGCCCACACAAATCTCTCACATGTCATTTTCTAATTCACTCTCTGCATTCTTTAATTAGTTTAATCTCTATATATACATCAACTGTACACAAATCGAATTCATTCAATACAATTCATTTCTTCTCTCTGTTCTCTGTTCCTCTCCTCTGTTCCATTATCTTTCTAAAAGTTCATATCGTCTCTCAGAATGAGTTTTGGGCGGGGCAAAGCTGCCAGCTTTTTAGTCCCGAGGGGATTCGCTGCCCCTCGGAGAGGCACGATCAGCTCCATCATCATCATCTCTAGGGCTCGGGCTCCGCCCATTAGACTCTAGTCTTCCGTTCTACTCAGCAGCTAGGGATCTCTCCCTTTCTGAACTTGCAGGGCTCCTGCTAGTCTCTCTCCTTAGGGTTTGACTGTAATACAGAACGCAAAATTTCCCTAGTGTTGAACACAAATTTTAAATAAATGTCTGAATCTATTCCTGGAGGCAGCTCGAGGAAATTATTTTGGGCCTAAACGCATCTGTAGACAGGACCAACCGATGGCTTGCTTCCTACAGCCGGCATTGATTCTTCGACCTCAACTCTTTGCAAGAAATGCTGTAAAGCAGCAGATTTAGGGGCTGTAAGGCTACAGGATTTTAGCAGGATTTATCATAAACGCCCAACCTATATCTCACCGGGGAATAAATTAGCCTTTTAACCAGATCCAGTAGTTCGGCGGATCGACGGAATCTGCTCGAAGAACGCGCGAAATGTAGAAATTTACCTTAACAGCTAGCGAGCTCCCGTCCTTCCGATCAAAATGTCGCAACTTCCGATCCGACAGGAAAAGGGAACGCCTCGAATAAGCCGAAGGAGCGAAGTTGAACAATAACGAAGGAGCCGAAGAAGCCACTCATGGAATCTTACACCTCCTGCGAAGCAATGAAGCCGAACAGCAAGACGATGCCGAGGATTTCAGCCAGCGATTTTATAACCCGCTCAATATGAGCGGGTTTCTATTTCGCAAGAAACACTCCGCATAATATACTACTAATGCATCCGAGGGTTTTTCTTTTGTTCCGTTTAAAATTAACCAAACAGCCTAATTTAATAAATACATGTATTTGTTTTACTTTACCCTCCTAATTCAGGCAACCAAACAGCCCCTTAAGGAATTAAGGGACCAAAATGGTCCTTTAATATAGTTGGGGACCATTTTAATTTTTCATGAAGAGTTAGAACCATTTTGGTTCTTTCTCTATCTAAAACTATATAGATATTAGGAGTTGGCCTTTTGTTAGACATAAAGTTATATTTTAAAATTGAACTAAGGTTCATAATAGAAATTGAACCTAATCTTCAAGTATAAATTATTGAATCTGAACATAAGCTTATCGTATGAACGGAATCTATCCCTGAAGCAACCATACTTGCCAAAATTAAAAAAACAATGGAAGAATCTGATGATTTAACTCCTTGTGAAGCTTCTAAGTAATTATCTCTATAGATCAATATAAAATTGATTATTTTTTGGTTCAAGGTTTCTTGATTCATATATCCATAAAAATAATCATTTGCATATATAATGCAATAAAAAAAGATCGCAAAAATACAAATAAACTAGGTCTTTCTTCCAAAATACCATAAAATGACAAAATACAAATAACACCAAAAGAAGCTTGTATCATAAAATATTTCAACACCATACAACTCTCATAAAACTTAAACTTATCATAAAAATACCACCTAAAATAGCATTTCCTTAAGAAGAAATATACAAAAGAGGTGGACACTTGCGGAGAGAAGAATTAGATAAGAAGCCCGAGACGAAATCGTAGATAGGGGAAGAGAAATGGAACAAGCCCGCAAGCTTTTCCAAGAAGAAACCCGTAGGTTTTTTGCTCCAAAAATTCTTCACATAACTCTCTCCTTTAAAACTACAAAACATCACATATTTATAGGTGAAAAGAGGCAGACAAACAGCCCCTAATAACTCCAGTCAATCCAATCAGGAAAGGGGAAACAGAAGGTCAGCAGGCAGCCTGAAACAACAGCCGAACCAACCCAAAAATGGGAGCCAAAAGACCAACAGGTGCTGCCTGGAACAACAGCCAAAGGGACCACCTAGGGGAGAGGAACGGGCAACCATAACCAGCCACGGGACAGGAAAAGCCACGGGACAGAAGCCATCAGAGGAACCGAAAGGACAGCAGAGAGGGGGGGAATGAACCTGATTAACTCCAATTTATGAGCTGCAAAAGAAGCTGCAGCTCAACATTAATGAGCTGGAGCATAACAGCTCCGAACAAAACAGCAAAACCGAACAACCAAACCCAAACCAAAAAGCCAACATCAGCCCAAAACTTAGGCACATAAATTGCCCCCCCCCCCCCTACATCAATATATCCATAAAAATAATAATATGAAAAAAATCAAATTGCAACAATATTTCAAAAGATTTATTAATAACACTCCGCCTTGAATTTTTATTTCATAAAGAAAACCCAAGCCCAGCAAGTATGATTCTTGATGAAGGAAATAAACTATCTAGCTCCAAAGACATCTTTAACTCAAAATAATCCTCATCCATCATTGTGGACTTAGCAAAAGGTTGAGAAGGTCTGTAGAATTGACTAGGTGAATAGAGAAGAAATTAATTTTTCAATCAACCCGTTATTTAAACTAGCACCTTACTTGAAGGATAATTCTTTAAAAGGTAGAACCCTAAACACATCTCTGTAGAGTCAATCGTCTTCCTCAAGTTTTAAGTTCTAAAACGTCAATTATATAAGGAATTTTTACCTCCTATCATATGATCTGACACTCCAGAGTCTACTATCCCAGTTAGTTCTCTTCTTGTTTGCAATTATTGCATTTGAAAATTTATCTTTTTGAGCAACTAAACATATTTCGGTGACATTTTTTAGAATAAACTTCTATTGGAAGAATAATTGGTTGTCTTTTATTTGTCATTGTTGCTTATTCTCTTTAGAATTTTCCACTCCAAGTATTTCATCATGGATTTTCTATGTTTTGGATTAAATTTTCTATCATAGAGTTGATTTAAGACATTGGAGTAGCTAGCTTTGTAATAGTTACCACCACCTTTCTACAATGATCATTTACATATATTTTCACCACTGTAGAGGGACGAAGAGTGGCGTTAGTGTGACTTGGAGGAGAGACTCCATATCGAATGTCCCATTTGCCTCACAATAAGTAGAAGCTTAACGTCTCTGGCACCACCTTGAAAATTAAAAAGAGAAGAGAAGGGAGTAGAAAATGAGAGCTAGTTCTGTGTAAAAAAAAAAGATTTGTATATGAGTAAGTAGAAAAAGCTATCAAGGAAATAAATCTAAAAATCATTTTTAATTCTGGAATCAAGAATTAACTACATAAAAATACAATATTGTTGTCCACAACTCATTGGATTGTTATAGATGGAAAGTTGTTGATTACATCTTGCTAGGATGTTCTAGATAGAAAGATGTTGTCTAGAAATTGTTAGGTTGTTGTAGATGGAAAAGTGCTGACTAATGATTCAAGATTATTTACAATCTTAAGAGTGCCATTATGCAACTTTAAAGGCAAAATTAACAAAAAAGAATTAAGACAACTAAAGAAGATATGTCACCAAAAGAAATATGCGCATGTACTCGAAGTACCAATGTACCATAAAAAAGAATCTATAGCACATCTGCAGCAATAAATACAAAAAGCTTCAAGTACGAGCATGTTTAATCTATCATATAACTTTTTTAGCAGTATTCGGAAGCATATAATAGATAACCAACAATATATCAAGATCCAGCTGATTCTGCTGATGGAACTTAGAATTAAAGAGGTAACAGTCCATGTTTTCCAGATAATAGATGAAAAATATTCAATTGCTTCTGCGACACAAACAGTATAAAACAATATGAAAAATTATACCCCGTCCAATCAAAATGAGGACACTGAGGTGTCCGGATTTGGCCTTTCTTTAAACAATATAGCCAATTCTTTTGCAACTCTTCAGAATGATTAAAAGCCTCGTCATTTTTTAGCTTCACATGGACTGATTTATGAGAACTCCATGCTGCTTTGAAGCAATCCTGAGAACTGCACAAAAAATGCACTCTTAACTTTAAAAATAAGATAGTATTCTATCTCACTAATTAGAAATGTGAACCAACAGGTTTAGTCAAACAGGGAGGATAATGCAGCAAATAGAATTCAAAAGCCAAAAAGGATCAAAGGTGCATGCAACATTCTAATCCTTCTTTCAGCAATGTACAAGGCACTAAGATACAGAAGAAAATGAGAATGGTTAATGGAAGGGTTAATGGTACAATAACAAACAACAACATCAAGCCTTTATCCCACTACGTCAGGTAAGCTACATGAATCTTTTTTCTCCATTGTGGCCTGTTAAGAGTCAAATTCTCGTTTAAAGCTATAGAGGAAGAAAGGTAAACGGAAGAAAGGACAAAAAGAAGAGAAGTTTGATTTCAACTCTATGGGATTGTATTGAGGTATTTCCTCTTGGAAATAATGAAAAGCAAATATGCAAGTGTGAAAAGTTGGTTCAATCTATATCGTGACAACAAGTTTGGCACCAGTAATTTGGAACGCCAATTACAAACTCGAAGAAGAGACATACACGTGAGATAGAGTAGCTTATTTTACAAACTAACTCTAGTTTGTCTATTTCTATGTTTGACACAAATTTTGACTATTAAGAGTTCCATGATTTATTTACAACTTGCATTAATACATGATTTACCTTTTCAATGTGTTTACTAGGTTAGTTTTAAAGCACAATTACTTTATTTGCATAGTGATTTGCAGCTTGTAATGGTTGCAAAAAGATGCATACCAGAGAGAAGGGCCAAATTCAAGCAACGCTAACTAAAAAAATTAATAGAGTTTGTTTAACATCTGATTTGTTAAGAACGACATTAAACTTTTTAGCATGTGATGATAATTTGATAAGTAATTTGATCTGTTTCTAGAATTTAATGATTTGTGTTATACTTACAAGCTCATGTGTATTCTCTAGTTTCTTATTTATTGTGATTATATTATTTGTGACAAAAGGTTCTAAAAGATGGTGGTGTAAAATAGAAATCAATAACTAAGGAGGTTAGTTTCTTCTAAATGAAGTTGTTATCGTGATATAATCAAACCTCATCTTAAATGTAGTTACTTTCAATAGCAAATCAAAGAGGAGAAAGAGGTTGAAAAAAAAAGGACAATAACAAGATTCTCTATTTTTTTAGCATGTTGGTTAATGCTCTGTTTTTTATTTATCTTATGTTTTTATTTTCTTACTCTATTTTGAAGAAGGAAAATGTCAGTATGACAGAAAATATGTTAAAGTTTACTCCTCGTTTAGAAAAAAAATCCTCCCAGAAGTTCATTTTGCTCAATTTAGCCTTTATCATTATAATAAACATTTTAAAATTTGATGCAGCTGTTCTTTTTCCTTATGTTTTCCGCAACTCTTCTTAGTTTACTGTAAAATGAATTTAGCATTTATTCAAGATTCCACGGGCCACTCCTATAAGCTATACTGAAAATGGGCATTCATCCTTGCTGTAGCAGCTGCAAAAACTGTTACAGGAGAGATGTATAAGAAGAAGATAAGCCCATTACATTTGCAGCTAATTTGGTCACTTATAAGTACGGTTAGAAGCACTAGTGATTCCTTTTTTAATCAGTTCACTGCTACTGATCATTTAAAGGTTGATGATATCATCATACAATGCTTTTTGTCAACTTGGCATGCTTTATTTTAGTAGATATCCAATATAGCTAAAGTTTCAAGATAAACTACATAAACATTACTGTGATAAATCAGATGCATAAAAAAAACAAACAATTTAAGCGTGCATATTATTTAGGCTAAACAGGTCATTTCAGGTTACACGGATTGTGTTGGCTTAAAGGTAAAATCTATCCCATATAAGATATAAGTTAAATGCCTGAGAATCAGGTTAGTAGAGCTAGGGTCAAACATTTCAACCTATTTATTATTCAGGTTGGGTTGAGGTCAAGGAAACTTGGGTTGTGTCAAATTCCGCCTAAATCTAAACTCGACCCACAAACCCAATATACACATAAATACAAAGTTTACTTTACTCTAGGTATTTTAATATTAAAACTATTGAACATACTCTAAAATTAAGTCAAATAATATGTTTTGAATTTTAGGCACTTTTAAGATGTACTACAAAAATCACAAATCTTCCTACAATTGGAGACACCGTAAAAAAACATTTCATGCAATTGCTAATCATCAATTTGAAATATTGTTTATATTCAGCTCTTGTTTGACTCGATAATAAATGAGTGAAACAAAACAATGTTTTTATCTGGACAGTCCATTTAAGATTATTCATATTTGACATAATACTTAATTAATCAAACCAAACAAAACTTGAGCTCGTTAAGATTGGGCTTTCTAAATCAACAAAATTAATTAAGCAAATTAAGGATTAATTATTCATAAAAATTATTTGAAGATCAATATATTAATAAGATATTCTTAAGTTATTGAAATTTTCCACATATTAACTAAATAAAAAAAGTAATTGTAGGATTAGTTACTGTTAATTTTTTACAAAACTAAAGTGCTATAATTAATTATTTCAATTATGGATCAAAGAATCTAATTAATGCATTATTAATTAAATGAGCATTTTGTGAAAATTTTCATAAATCAATTAACTAAAAATGTAATTGTATAGCCATTAATATTAAATGATTAAGAAGTGCCCTAATAAATGATTTTTATTATAGATTAGTTAAGCTAACAAATTCATTATTAATAATTACATAATAAGTGATTATATTTAAAAATGTATTTATACTCTAAAATAGTACCCTAATTAATTGTGTATTACACAATGATTAAGGGATTAAATTAGTAAGCATTGGTTAATGCTTAGGGTATCAAACATTATTTTTGTAAATTAGGGATTAATTAAGACAAATATTTACAACTAACTATTGAAACAATATATTACTCTAGTCAGCCATCAATTAATTAATAGATTAATCATGGTTAACGATGTATGAAAAAATAACTATGGTATTAAAATGGTTTGATTAATAAAGCGAATAATTCTCTGCTTAATAATCATGGCAAAAATATGCTAACCAGTCATGCATTAATTAATTAACAAACTAATCTGTTTAAATAACTTATAAATAATAAATAATATATTAAACTATTGTTACATGAATTTAGAATAATGTACTTTTTGGTCGTCTAACTAACACAAATTAGTAACAGCAGCATGTTGTTTTATCAAATAACCGTTCGCTTTATATGATAGCAAGTATTAGCATAATATAAAACAACATAGCATAGCACAAACAGAGCCAAGTCTTAAAAGGTCGGATCCGCTTGGAGCAGTTGATTTTAAAACCAATTTTCCTTCAATTATTATACAGCATATTCTATGAAAAAAAATACATAAAATCATGAACACTAATACAAACATTTAGATTTATTAGTCTTCAAATTGATCACCATAGTTAAGCGCTCATAGAAATATCCATCTAATTTAGAATAACAATGTCAGAATATAAATAGAGAGAGATAGTGTGTGCGCGCGTGTGAAGATGCATTTGGTGAACTGAAAAGAGAGAGTATGCAACATACCAAAATGCAGCACCTTCACGAGGTAGCTTTAGTTCGACGCATTTCGGACATCTGCACAAAACCACATACAAATTGAAGTAATTAAACCTCCATCATCTGTAGCTTCTCGCATCTTTATAAGGAAGAAGAAATAACTACAATTACAAAGCAAAATATGTCTTAAAAAGTAGAAAGGTTAATTGAATTAAGAGAAAGCAAATAAATATTTAAAGAACCAGAAATTTATAGCAGATTATTCATTAAATAATGTTTACTAGTTACTTTACTTGCACGCCTTGTTTAATCAAATCCTCAACTAGATCCCTGCCAACCAAGATGTCACTAATAAACATTTTTATTCTTCATAACTAGGCTTGGAGCATTTAGGAAATGCATGCAAGTCGGTTCTACTATATTTCAACTTGTTGTTTTTACAATCTTCATAACTACAAAATAATTGCTGAAATAAAATCCTTCCTAAATCAGATATCTAACTATGGAGGATACTCAACGTGTTTCTAGAAGGCTTCCCACGGATCTATCTTGGTAGTCGTTAGATCTATGAGAGAACTGAGGGCTGAGATTTAATACTCACCCTCAAGCTGGAGAATACAGATTTATCATTCCCGGCTTGTAAATCATTTTGAGAAGGATAGAGTTGTCCAATCCCTTGGTGAGGAAATCTGCAAGTTGATCTTTAGATGACACATTGTTGATACATATGAGATCAATGTCTAACTTTTCTTTAATAAAGTATATGTCTACTTCTATGTGCTTGGTCTGTCATGCTGGACTGGATTGTGGACTATGTTGATTGTTGATTTGTTGTCATAATGTAGCTTCATGGGATCTTACCACTTAATCTTTAGGCCTTCTAAAATTATTTTAATCCAGAGTAACTCACACATTCCCAAGGTTATAGCTCTATATTATGCCTCTGCATTTGATCTTGCCACCACATTTTGTTTCTTGCTTCTCCATGAAACTAGGTTCCCTCCAATAAATGTGTAGTATCCGGAGGTAGATCTTTTGTTATCGGTGATCCTGCATTATCAGTGTCAGTGTATACTTCTAAAGTCATTCCTTGATCTCTTCTAAAGAGAATCCCTTTCCCTGGGTTTTCCTTGAGGTAGTGTAGTATTCTATTTACTGCTTACTTGTGTGTTTGTTTTGGGTTTTGCATAAACTGATTGACCATACTTACAGCAAATGTTATATATGGTCTAGTATGAGAAAGGTAGATCAATTTTTCCACTAATCTCTGGTAAGAACCTTTGTCTACATCTCGATTTCTTTAGCTTTCCCCAGTTTGAGATTTGGTTCTATGCGAGTTGGTGATGGCTTGCTGCTAGTTTTCCTGTCTCCTTTAAAAGATTTTAATGTATTTTTGTTGTGAGATGAAAATTCCCTTATTGGAGTGAGCTACTTCAATTCCAAGGAAGTATTTTAGCCTACCAAGTTCTTTGATATCAAATTCCTTGATAAGATTTTTCCTTAAGACTTTCTTTTTCTTTTTAATTATTCCCAATTAAAATAATATCATCCACATAGACCAGTAGTATGGTAACTCCTGAGTCTGAGTGTTTAAAAAATAATGTATGATCCACTTGACTTTGTTAATACCCATTAAGAAGCATAAATTTTGAGAATCTTCCGAATCAGACCCTTGGTGATTGTTTAAGTCCATATAGTCTTTTTAATCTGCACACCTTGCTACCTCCAGATTTTTTCTTAAACCCTGGTGGCATTTTCATAAATATTTTTTCTTCCAGATCCTCATACAGGAATGCATTTTTCATATCCAATTGTTCCACATACCAGTTGTACTTGGCTGCTAGTGAGAGTAGTATTCTGACAGTGTTCATCTTGGCTACCGATGCAAAGGTTTTTTGTTAGTCAGTGTCATATGTCTGAGTGTACCCTTTTACCACTAGGCTTGTCTTGTATCTTTCCAGTGTGTCATCATCTTTGTATTTTACAGAGAACATCCATTTGCAGCCGATCGATTTTTTTTCTATTGGTAAATTGATGATCTCCCATGTATTATTCTTTTATAGAGCTTGCATTTCATCTTTCATGACATTTTTCCAATTTTCATCAGATAAGACCTCAAAAATATCCTTAGGAATATGGATATCTTCTAGTGTTATAAGGAAATTTTTGTATGAGGATGATAAGTTGTTGAAGGATATAGAGTTAGTTATAGGGTATAAGGGAGCTGATGAGCTTACCTTACTTCCAGGTGATGGTTCGGATTCTTAGATCTGCTTTGGAGCACAACTCGAGCTTGTACGACTGGAGTAAACCTTTCCAAATCTAATGACAGCTTTGTCATTTGTTTCTCTGTCCTGGATTTCAAGTGGATTGGTTTGAGGTGGAGGAATGTCAAGAGGTGCTAATTCATTTTTCTCATCTTCCTCAAGTTCAATCTCCCCCTGAAGATGAGGTTTTGAAAAATAGGAATTTTATTCATCAAAGTTAACATCAATAGAGACAAGGATTTTTCTAAAATGGTTTTTCTTGTGGGTGGATGATAACACTTGTATCCTTTTTGGGTAGGAGAATAGCCAACAAAGATGCATTTGAGTGCTCATGGATCTAGTTTTCCTCTATCTTAGCTGTGAATATAAAAATAAGCAGTGCACCCAAAGATTCTGGGTGTAAGATTATTATGGGTTCAAAACTTGTGGTAAAATGAGGACAAAATCTCCATTGGAGTTTTGAGTCCTAGGGCTTTTGAAGGTAGTCGATTTATGAGATAAGTTGCGGTTAGTAGAGCTTCCCCCCAATAAGATTTGGGTGTATTGTAGTGGAATAATAAAGCTCGAGTGGATGCTAGAAGGTAATCATTTTTTCTCTGTAACCACATTTTGTTATGGGGTGTGAACACAGAAGGACTCATGGATGATCCATCACTTTTGAAGTAGGAGGAAAGGGTTTAAATAAAATAGTCTTTAGCATTATCGGAGCAAATTCTCCTTATTTTTACCTCAAATTGATTTTTGATCATGGTATAAAAAATATGAAGAATGATGTTAACATCGGATTTATTTTTGAGGTGATAGATCCAAAAGACTCTAGTACAATCATCAGTGAATGATACAAACCAGCGTGCCTCAGAGATATTCAGGATTTTTTAGGGTCCCCACATATCACTGTGAATAGCATAGAAAGGAGTATCACATCTCTCATTTTTATTTGGAAGAAATTTCTTTTATGTTTAGCTAACTCACAGGTTTAACGATGAAAATATTTATATTCTAATTTCTGAAAAAAGTTGTGGATACATATATCTTAAGACATCAAAAGATGAGTGTCCTAAACTATAAAAATGAAGCCAAGTAATGAAATTATTATCAACTAGGGATAACATTAAGCAGCTATTTTTATATTGGTTTAGTTCTTCTAGGTAGTATAATCTAGCTTTCTCCTTAGCACGTCCAATCTTCTTCCTCGATATCTGGTCCTGAAAAAAGCAATAAATAGGATTAAATAAAGCTTGACAATTATGGTCATTCGTACGTTTTTTGTATTGATATTAGGTTTGTGGATAATTGAGGTACATAGAGCAGATTTTTTAGGGTGAGTGAGGGAGATAATGTTATATCTCCCTGGTTTGCTACCGTGATAAGAGAACCATCAGGAGTGATGATTTTCTTGTAGCTTGGGCAAGGAGTATAGTTGATGAAGTGGGTAGGTGAGTGTGTCATGTGATATATGGCTCCAGAGTCAATGATCCATAATTCCTTTAAATAATTTTAGAGGCACTTAAACTAATAGAAATCAAAAACTTACCTGAGAGTGCAAGTGAAGAAGATGCATTTGATTTTTCAAGAGATATCAAGAGTCGTTTCAATTTATCAATATCTTCTTTATTGAATTCTCCAATGTTGGACTGTGATTATGGGTTAGGCTGACTTATAGTGTTGTTGGCCTGTGATGTGCTCCTTATTTCAATTTTTTGATTCCACTCCTTATTGGGGGGTTTTTCATGTATTTTTCAAAATGTTTCCTTTGTGTGTCTTGACTTCTTACAATAACTGCACCAAAGTAAGTCTTTGTCTTTGAATTTTGAGAAATTTTTACCTTTCTCCTTCCATAACGATTCTTTGTTCATCATCATTGCTGAACTTTCGACAATTTTTAGTTCTAACATCACTCATCATCGGCTTTCTTCTACGCGGATGAGAGAAATGATTTTGTTAAGTGATCCGTCTCCTCTTTGCTGAGGATCTGGACTCTAAATTGATAAGATTCTACATTTAGTCCCGTAAGAAAATCATAAACTCTATCTTTTTCAATAAAATTCTTTAGGATCGTAGCATCTTCCGGACATCTGGTTTTTATGCATCTATAGTGATCAAGTTTTTGCTATAGATTTTGTAGAAGGATGACATACTCTGTCACGGTCTTGCTCTCCTTGCTTTGTGCTTCCAACTTTAATTTTAATTTCAAATATTTGAGCTGCATCCTGAGCTTTGAAAAAGGTCTGTCTAGCAGCATCTCATATGTCCTTCACAGTGTAAAGGAAAATGAATGTATCGCTAATTTCTGGAGTCATGGAATTCAACAACCATGACATAATCATGGAGTCTGCTTCATCACATGCCCAAAAATTAGGATCTCCTTCTTTTGGTCCTCCTCTGAGGAGGTGGTGTATTTTTCCTTTCCCCTTCAAGTAGGTCTTCACAAATTGAGACCACTTTAGTTTAGGTAGTTCTTCCCATTTAGGCGATAGGAAGGTTGCATGCTTTAGAGGTCATCTCGTCCATGATGCACCATAGACTCGTCAATTTGGTCAATGCTTTGGGAGGAATTAATTTCGAGTCTAGTTTTAAAGGCTCGTATAGAGCAACACGGTGCGGGCTTCTTCCGCACGGATCGATCCGTGGCTAGGGCAAGGTCTTCCGCACGTGTCAGTTGCTCCCACCTTTGTCTCGGGAACGTCAAGAGTCAGCATTGGCAAGGATCCATCCCCCTTCTGGTGATTTTCGTTTGCGGCAACTTCCGACAACCATCTGGAATCGGGCCTTGTAGCGTCGGCTTTCTTCTTCCTTTTTCCTTCTTCGGCTTCCTACGATCTTTCTTCCACGGAAATGAAGGTCATTGGCTCTACCACGGAAATGAAGGCCGTTGGCTCTAATACCATGTTAAAACTAGGAATTTGAGAGGAAAAAAGCTTACTTTATTATACAATATAATCCCTATTTATATATCTATACAAGAGGTCTAATGAAGAACCAAATAACTACAGAATAATTGTTGAAATAAAATACTTCCTAAATCAGATGTCTAGCTATGGAAGGTGCTCAATGTGTTTCTAGAAGGCTCCCATGGATCTATCTTTGTAGTCGTTGGAACTATGAGGGAATTGAGGGCTGAGATTTAACACAATACATAATGGGAAAGTCTTGAAAACTATCCTAATTTAATCTTCCTCAAGGAGAAATTTCATAAAAAAGTGATAACTATCAATAAGACCCATAGTAAATAAAAAAAGAGTATATTAATCTCTTACATTCTAGGTCTCTCAAGAAAATAAAGTCCGAATTAGTGCAAAGTAAGAAGGTTTAGCTAACGGCAACACCTCATCCTCAACAAGCAAAATAGCCAGTTAACTAAAAGATGAAGGTATGTTGATGACAAAAGAAGGAGAAGGTTTTTTATTTCTGTGAGTCTCTAGAAATATATTAGGCTGGCCCATAGGATAAGAATCTAACTTCTGTCCACAAGGCAAGTTATGGAAAGATTGGTATCATTACAAATATTCTAATTTCCATTTTGTTACTAGTATGCCATTTTTCAGTATTTTGTATGGACCTTTACTAAGGCAGATTATTGGGTGGATTTACAGCAACATCACTTCTATTTAGGTTAAGAAATAAACAAATTACCATATAGTAATTCAAGAAAAATAATAGATGTCGACCAAAAAAAATGAAATTTAATACCAATTCATCTATTAAAAAAAATTAATTGGCAATAGGTAAATCAACATACTGAAGGTGAGCAGGCTTGCCACAACGGGCACAGGAAACAGTTGATTCAGCTTGTGTGACGGAGTCACCATCCATCAAAACCCTCAAACTGCATCAAAGAATTTGTGCGGCATGACTAAAATATACGCTGCTAAAAATATTACCAAAGTTATATATTGCCAAAGAGTTTTAAAGCAAAGAATCGCTGCTTTATCAAGCAATCCAATATTCATTTGGCAAAAATATCAAGGCTAAACTATAGTTATCAACGAAATCAAACGAGCAGCTTTAAAATAAACAGAGCATCTCCGTCATGCCTAATATTTTCCATGGCCAATAACAATAATATCTTGGAGTAGAACCATATAGAAGCAGCTTTTGCAACACAACCTAGCGTTTTAATATGGGCTTACAAATAGATACGAAATAAGCATAAGCTCGGGAAAAAGAGGAGATTTGGAAATATGTTTAGCAAAAATTAGGACAATAATGGGCAAGCATGCCTCGAAAACCAAGGAACGAGATTTCACTTGAATCCCTGGGCAAGGGAACCACTGCTGTTCGCTTTCTTATTCGATAACCGCGAAAGAATAGTCGCAGAGAAAAGGATCGAAAACCTAGGGTTTCGCAGATGCTGGGGACAGGAGAAGAGAGAAGCAGCGAGTAGCGTTTCGAGTTCCAGTTAACATAATAAGATACGGAAATCTTCGTAGAAGTTCTTGGATTGTCCTTTATAGGAGAGAGAAAAAACTTAAATTTATATGTTAAATAATATTAAAAATTAAAGAAACATATTCTATATTTTATTTAATAGAAGGATATGCATAAAAGTTTCATTTAAAATAAAATACATATGTTATATTAATATTTCATTGTATATGAGGGAAGATTATTCGGTTTTCCTACTTCGATTTTCTTTGTTGTCGTCGTCATCATATATTTATCAGAGTTTCTTCGTTATATATTGATATTCTTTTTTATCTTTTTCAAAAAAAATTCTCGTAGCATGAAATAGGTTATTATAAATGATAACTAATGAGAAGCTAAATAAAGTATCAAATAGTTTGCTTTGATATCTATTGAAATATATGTGTGAACTATGATTGAATCATGATCAAACATGATTCAAGTCATCAAAGCCTATTTTGTTCAATTTTCATTTTTTTAATTATTTAAGCAATTAGGTATGATCAAGTCTTAACTTGGTTGTTATTTTAATTTGGTCTATATTATGTGCGATCAAGCCTTCAAATATAATTCAAGTATATATTGAATATATTCAATTATAGTTCAATCTTTTTTCGATCCACATTTGCATATAATCTGATTAGTTCAATCTATGTTCGAATAACAGTGAAGTTATATGTTGACAAAACTATTTTCTTTAGATAAATCAAACATCAACATTCTTATATTGTATGAAAAAAATGAAAAAAAAAAAAAAATCATGTAATCTAGTTGGATATGGGATGCACACTATCCAGAATCGTTATTAATACTTGTTTAATTTTGATTTGATTGATGATTATAACTTATAAGTTTTAGATCCGTCAAAGTGGTTTAATTGAAAATAGTTTAAGTACATTTTAGTTTCAGTAGAATTAATAGTATTTGGAGAAGTGATTTTTATATAAAAATTCATTGGGATTATGGTATCTCCTATAGAGAGAGTGCAGTTTAGGGTTCGTCACGTAGTATGGAGTATATAGGTAGTCCTCGCCGTTTACGAATAGCATTTTATGCATTCTCTTGTTTTTGGGAGTAATAAGAGAGATGTTAGGGATGTTGCGCGCTAGTTGATGTTGCCCTGTAGTCCCTGGCACCACACTGTGAGGTGAGATGTTATGGGAGATATACCTAATAAAAATATGAGCCCACAATCAGCCTTTGGAATAGGTGGGGTGCATTTACTGTGGCAAACTTGAGTTCAATAATGATATATATATTATAGTGGTTATTTATAATGTTTACTGAGATATTAAATAGGTTATTATTAGTATGGTGCATACTACTGGTACAAGTTGTATAAGGTGTGGATAAAATATTCTTTGTGGAAGTAGTATAATTAGTGGTATAAGGTTAACTTGGTTATTTGTGGGACAGTTCGACTGAAGGTGGGCCGAATATAGGTGTATATGGTTCAATATATTAGTAGAGGTATTTATCTTATACATTGTACGAATCGATTGTGAGGTTTGAGATATATTAATATGAAATCTTATATAGTATGCAATTTTATAGATCGTAGGACTTGAGGGGACCTAGCAACAATTGCACATTGCAAAGAAAAATTAATAGTTTGATGTTCGAAGTCATATATGCATTAATAATGTTATCATTATAGGTCTTTATCAATTACTTTTCTAGAGTGTTTACACTATGGTTCCATGCTCTCTCATTCATGTGCATGATGAATTATATCAGATTAAAGTTTCTAAGAGTGGGAAGTTCATGAAAAGTATCACTTGTCTTACAAGGCGATGACGGTGACCTAGGTCCCGGTAGTAGCGTTGGTGTATGCTGTGTGTGCGTCGTGTGTGTAATGTTTATGTATTGTATATAACTTGTATGTCCTCGAGCCCTGGTAGGTACGGTAGGTAGGTCTTCCTAAAGGGCACACGGGAGGAGGGACTGGAAGGTCACCTAACGGCGAGGTGGGTAAGTTTTTTGGGTAAGGGTAGGTGGTTAGGACTGCGTAAGAGGACTAAGTCAGATCTATATGAGATTGAACTCACTTTAATCCACTATAGTAGTGGATTGAGAATATAATGACCGTCATCCACGAAAGTGAGACGAAGAACGAGAAGCTAGGCTGGAGAAGGGGTTCAGGAGAGTAAGGAGTAGGGTAATACCCATTAATTTCATTCATCATATACCAAGGTATACCCGTAAGTGTTACCAATCACTTTTCTAATCCATTGGGATTACATAAACTGGATAACAAAGGTTCAGGGTATTCATAATTATGGCTCACAGAAATCCTCCTCTAAACCTGAGCTAAAGGCTTTGTAAATAATCGGAGGATCGGACGTACGAGTTTCAATCACAGGACGCAGTGTTCGAGGTCGGGCTCATGTTTACACGGCTTCACAAATAAGCCGTGAGACCTGTATCTATGTAATGAACCGACAGTTCAACAGGTCGAAATCAATCGAACCGGGCTTTGGTCCAATTTAGGCAATATCGGACAGCAACCTATCGTTTTATTTTCTTTCTAGCCTTTACATATGAAAATATACTCAACATAATATTTTAGTCTTGAGTGAGCCTATATTTAAATCAGTTATTTATTATAATGAAGTTTTTAAGTGCTGATACTATAAGTGGATGTCTCTTATAAATTACAGTATTTTTATTACAGTAAGTAGTGGAATTAGTGATAAAGTAGTTAGGTAGGGCTAAATGTGATGACAATAACCATTAACAATCATCCTCCTTCATGATGTTAGGGACATAATGAAAAAGTTATCAGTGATGCTATAGTATGTTAGTAGCTTAATGTGAGTTTGTGGCTTTTTAATTGTGCCCATGAATAGTTGGGGTGTTGTGGATCACGACTAAAACTTAGGTGGTTGGGTTCACCTAGCAGAGCTATATTTGGGTCTGGTTGGGCAGGGACGAGAGATTTTTTTAATTTGTATTATCAGGATAAATGTTATGACATTCTAACTTATTATAATATATATTAAGACAGTAAAGTTAAATTAAATATAGGAATGGATGAAGTATTTACCATTAAATATTATTCTTAATTACATAGGACTTTGTTAATTAGATATATGAGAATTTATATAATTGAAATTAAAATTTTTAATATTGTTATAGATAGATATTAGTAGATGGTAGTAAGGTCATTTATTATTACTATATATTATAAAAATAACCTTAAAAGGTTTAAATTAGTATTTAAAATTATTAGATATGATTGCATTAGAGTATAATATAGTAATTAAAGCTAGTATATTTAATG